CTCTTCACTTTGTTATTCCCGGAGTAGTAAATAATGTGGTCATCAGATTCAAAATGGCCAATACCAGTCCATTTCAGTTCACTAATGCCTAAGATATCGATGTTTGTGCCTTCCATTTCATTTTTGACAACTTCTAATTTTCGCACATTCATACTTAGTGCATTCCATATTCTGATTTTCATTGCATGTTTTCAGCTGTTTCTCTTCATTTTGAGTTGTGCCCCATCAGCAAATAAATGTTCCACAGGCTTTTGCCCATGGGCTTTACTCCATTCACATCATCACAGTCAATTCTACTCTGAGGAGGCAGCTCTTCCCCAGTCTCATTTTGAGTGCCTTCCAACCTGAGGGGCATAATTACCCCCCTCCCACTATATATGACAGTGTTTCTCTGATATTCATAAGGTTTTCAGTGACTAACTATTCAGAAGTGGTTTGTCACTCCTTCTTCCCAGTCTGTCTTTGTCTGGAAGCTCATCTGAAACCTGTCCACCAAGGGTGACCCTGCTGGTATTTAAAATACCGTTGGCATAACTTTCAGAATCACAGCAACTAACAAGCCACTACAGTCCGACAAACTGACAGATGAGTGGTGGATTAGAGACTATAGCATCTTTAAAGTCCTAGTGTGGCACTGTAGAAGAAGCACTGCTAACATAAAGGTCAGCGGTTCAAACCCACCATCTACTCCTTGGAAATCCTATACAGGGTCACTGTGAGTTAGAACTGACTCAATGGCACTTAACATCAAAGAAGAAAAAGCTTAGGCATTACTGAAAATGTAAATGTATAGAATATTTGCCACTTCTTTTGGGAACTAAAAATAATATTTATTACTATTATTCTGAAGAGAAGGCATCCTAATGGATAGTTGGTTAGACTTGGGCTGCTAACAGCAAGGTCAGCTGTTCCAGTGAGATTAGACCTACTGCTCCCGTAAAGATTTATAGTCTCGGACGCCCTAAACTAGACAAGGTCGCTATGAGTCCGAACGACTCAAAGGCACTGTACCACCACCACCAAAGGATGATGTTCCTTCTCCTTGTTCTGTCACTGATTCTTAACTAATAGAGCCATTCTCATTCTGCGATGGGAAATAACCAACAACAGAAAAGTAACGATTTTAGAGACGAAGTCAATTGCCAGGCAGGGTCAGGACAGCCAAAGCTGTAGAGAGCAGATGTATCCCTGAACTCAGATTCCAACAAAGCACCCCCTTTTTCAGGAGGCGGAGCAGAACGCAGCGTCGAGAACTGCAGGACCACGTTTCCCCAGAGGCGTTGGAGGCGGGTCCCGAGTCTGGGGGGTGGTGGGGGGGGTGGATCTCCTGGG